GGCAATTTTAATAGCATAGCTATTCTGGTCACACATCATGACTCATCACATTCTTCCTGGCAAAAGTTTGTACTCCAGCTAGAGAACTGCTGCCAAGCGATTATATGTGGTTTGTGACAAAGAGAAAAGAAACCACCCAAAAGCTAAAAGTAAATTCTTAAAGAAATACCAAAATTAAGGTGAAAAACTCTGCAAGTAGGATAAAATACCACTCCTCTCATTGCACAAAAACACTGACCTTCATTACACAGTTCTTGTGGATGCTTGAAAGTTATGCCTTGAATTGCTCTTGCTCGAAACTCAGCACACCAACGTGATCAAGCTACGGCCAACACTATCTAAACCTCGACATCATTCAAACAGAACCTTCCCAGCATTGGGTAGGAACGTCATGATCTTATACCGGCACCAGATAAACATCAAATCCTATTTTCTCCTCAGCCTCCTGCCTCAGCACAGAAGGATGTAATTCATACTCCATATGATTGTGAAAGACCGGGGTATTTCTGAAATCCTATGGCAGTGAAAATAGAATAAACTGAGTTTTACTGGAGTGGAACTGGAGCAAAATGCAGGAAATCTTCAAACAATGATCATGAACCTTAACTACATTCAGCCTTGTACTCTCCTACTATTAAACTGTATATACTTCAGGCCCTGAAGATAAAAGATTTTAACTTACACACACAAATGGCAAAGTAAACTACACATTTTATCAATTATTAGGACTTTTAAATAGCAGGAACAACAAGAACTCCCAAAGGCACTGCAGACAACATAAACATGCGAGTCATCTAGTAATCATGATCCAGCCTATGAGACACACAAAGAAAACTTTTGTATATGGAACACGATTTCAGAATCTCATGAGACCAGAAAGCTCTCAGCATTTCAGAAAGAGATTAAATGTTAACTGCATTGGTCTCTTTTGTCTGAAATTCACTCTTTCTATGAAATTCAACCCTACACAAAGAGCCAGAATCAGGATTAAGGATCTCATAAACCACATTTAATTCCTTAAAAAGGCTTCTGTGCAGAAATGAATTCCGGTCTCTGAGAAAAGTTGTACTATTAACAAAAGTATGCAAAAAAAAAAAAAGGCATTTAGAATTAGTTTGAAAACTCTGAGCTCTAGAAAACTTTTTAAATGTTTGGGAAAACTTTTCTTCTAAATGGAGATGGACGTTCTTTAAAATATGCATTGAAATAGAATCTTAAAATATTTTCTCCTAAGAAATTATAATTATTAAGGTCAATTTCTCTGTTGCTACTGGCTACAGAGTGATAGCAAAAAATGACAAGAATCACGTCAAGGTCAGCCAGCAGCTACCAGGGCTTCTGGGCAGGTTTATCATTTGCAGGGATTCTCCCTAAACTTAGGGAAGTGGTCTTCCATTGATGAGGAATAGGAGGCAGAGAAAGCCAAAATAACAGGTCTCCTGTAATATTCTCTCCATGTACCCTGTAGGAGGTTGAGTTCAACTAAGACAGGAAGACTGAAAGAACAAAAGAATGAAAGAAAGGAAGATGACCTGGTATTCAACTTGTACACTCCAGGCAGTCTTTCTTGGGGACCTCCTATGAGCCCTAGCAGCTCTTTCTGGCGATAAAACAGTTATTGTCTGGTTAATTTACGTCTCTAGTGCATGACATAAATGGACTGAGCAGTGTGTTTGGTGAAGGGACAAGGAGTCCCTACTGACATAAGCTGGTGAACAGTAAAAAGAACAGTCCTTTCTAAGGAACTGCGATGCTGAAACCCTTTGTGTTGGCTGAAAATTATTTCAAAAGCATTAGAGCTCATTGTTGTGGGTTCCCTTGGCTAAACCTCTTGTTGTCAAACTCAGAGTTTTTTTATTCCTGCTCTAAGAAGCTGTTGAGTTATTGCTATCTGTCAGAGAGCAAGAGCCACCAGGGTGGCTGTGCCAATTCCAGACAGGCCTAACCTCCTCCTAAGTTTGGGTGTGCTCCTATTTAAAAAATAAAAAAGAGCTTCTTTTAAAAAAAAAAAAAAACCAACACAACTTTTTTTCAGTTGGGGTAAATTCCAGCATTACTATTTGAGCATGAGCCAGCCTAATGCTCAGCATGCCTGGGAGTCATAAAGGGTTTGCAAATGCTGCACTGCTGCAGGAAACTGTCCCTGGGAAATGTGGGCTCCAAGCTTCCCATTGCTTACCTTAGGGAAAGGAGAATACCCCAAGCAGGAAGGGTCTGATTTATGGCAGGGATGTCCATATAATCATGTACATCACCAAACCCCAGAAGAGCTCAAGCTTCAGAGAAACTGCAGTGTGAACATAGCAATAGCTGGACAACTAACAGACCGTCAGTTGGAAAGCAGCATAGCGAATACTCAGCATTGGAAGTAGCTAGCAACACAAATGGCTAGCGGGGGCTGCCACTTAAAATAATTTCAAGTTTCCAATATATATTAATTTCTCTGTTATCTAAAATCATAAGGGACTGGGATACCCCAGTAAAATAGAAAATTCAGTACTGGGGAGATGCCGTAGCCACCACACGGCACAGTGAATCCACAAGCCCTGTAAAAAGGCTATAGTACACGTGAAAATCAACATAATTTATTTTTTATGTGACAGATGAGCTTGCTTAATGGGTAGGGAACATTTTAAGAAATTTAGAGAGGTGTTTTGAGGAGAAGTGGCCTGTTTGGAAAACTTGTGCCTCTTGACTGGAAGCCCACTTCTAAAATCTGAGGACACAACCTGGCCCCACACTGCAGACTCCCCTGGGACTGGGACTCACCTGAAAAATCATCAGAAAAACCAAGACAAGATCTTTCAGCATTGTGCATGAGAAAAACTTCTTAGCTGTCCTTCAGAAGCCAGTATTTGTAACTGAAACTCATGATGTCATTTAAGTCAAAAACCGTATTTATGATATATTTTCTTCAGTTACATACAATATATTCATTGCAATTACCTTATTCCCCTCTCCTGTACTGGAGTACAACCACAAGGTTTTCTTCACGCCTTTTATCACTAGGTGGCGACGTTAGAAGCCAGAAACGCGATGAAGAGTGGGGACGGCACGGTATCCTGAAATGTTAACTTCCACCACCGTTCGGAGGAAACATTAAATCCTGGGCAAACTCTGATCCGTTTATTTATTTGAAAATTCACATACTGCCTTTGAATGTGAAGCAATTAAAAGAAATGTCTGCCCAGGACTATAAATCCCTTAATGTAATATAATCCTTGAATTATACCCATTCTAACCCTTGCAATATAAACATTTTGGTGGGAATTCAACCCACTGTCTACATAAACACCTGTCCACACCTTCACCATATGAAATCCATAGCAGTGCTATGCAAATAAGATGAGAAAGAATTGTCTTTCATTTCCAGGTGTTTCCTCTCCTTGTGGTTTCGCTACCACCTATTTTTAAAGAAATACACGGAGACGTTTACAAGGTCTTGTTAAAACACTATAAAAAATGTCAGCAGAATGAGTTCCAAGGTAGCAGTAGTTTCCTACCACAGACCAAGCAAAGCAGAGGAAGTTTAAGACACAAATCTTGTTATTAAAATGCATCTGTAGGAGTATTAGCTCTGAATAGAATCTAGCATCCTATTCAATAGATTTTTTTAAGTGGAAAAACAACAGAAGGTCATTACTGTGATGCTAATAGTTTCCTGTATGTACTCATCCAGAAAATGTCTTGCTCTCAGAGCAGCTAAAGTAGTGCAACTTACTTCCTTATGAATTTATTGTACCCTCCATCTCCCAAACTCCTCCCCTGCAATACTCCCACTCGCCCCTGTAACTAAGACAACATGCAGGCCACCTCCCCATCCCCTCACCTCCATTTTTTGGGTTTCCCCACGTAAGGGCCAGCCCCAGCTGAGAGCATCATGCATGCTCAGCGATTCGGTGCATGTTGCAAAGTTGTGATTCCCAGGAAAAAAAAAAAAAGCCCTGTGCTGAGCTGTCAGGTCTACCCTCGAGCATTGGCACTTGGCAGGACCTCTCTGTGTCACCCAGCCTCTGCTTTTCCACATGGATATAGCACGAACCGCAGAGAACCAGAGCCCTCGGCATGCTCCTGCTTCCGGCTGAGAGGCCCAATGAGGAGCTGAGGCACCACACCCAAAGTGTGATCTACAGACACAAAAGAACGTGTTGTTTTCTTCTAAGGGGCCTATGGAGGACATGGACATGCTTTCCCAAGCACGGACACCACTGGAATTTCTGCCTTGGCTGGGCCCCAGCCTGGCACCTCCAAAACATGCCCATAGGTACAGCTGCCACAACCCACTTTCATGCCCCCCATCATTTGGGGGTTGAATTCAATAAACCCAGCATGTTTTTTTTTTTCCCCAGGCTGCAAGGAAGGCGAGTGCTGGGAGCTCTGAAGAAGCTGCCTTGGCGGGGTAAGCCTCAGGCCAGGCCGCTCCGCAGGGACCGGCCACCGGCGGTGGCCACCGGCAGCCCCTTTGGGGAGGTGCTGTACCTCACAAGCGCACACAGGTTCTCCTCAGGAACGCATCTAGGGCGAGCAAAAATGCTATCGCAGCTGAGCCACCACAC